TGTGCTGCACTACATGAGAAAACCTTGATCCATAAGAATTTGCCACTTTCAACAGAAGGGAACAGAGAGGTGTGGGCTGAAATAAGATATCATAGAATAATCAATGACAACAATATAGAGGTCTTTCCCTGCAATAAAGACCTTCTTTAAGGTAAATGCCCATATTTCCTTGGACTTAAATATTAACGAGATAGAACCAAGCCCAGTCTAGGAAATAAATTTTAGTTTATGTGAAATTTTTATGAGCTGATTAGTGGGTTGGATCAAAGAGCACAACCAGAATAGAGTCACAAAGAGGTCTTAGGAGATAAAGCATTTCTTGTTAATTCACCACTAAAGGACATGAACTTGGATGAGGCACTTACCTACCAGGCTCTGCAACACACCTACAAACCTAAGTCATGTCCCAGGTGGGAAGCAGGGCTGGAAGCAGAGAGCAGGCCGCGAGAAGGAAACTTTACTGCATTTTTTATCACAGACAAGCTGGGAGAGCCGCTCTTGGGTTCTCTTCCCATAGGGCACCTTCAGCAGGGAAGAGGGAGGGAATGAAAAAGCTGGAACCGTATTCACTTAAACAGAAATACCACGTCCTGTGTGATGGGGTCTTAGGAGAGCCGCAGCCCAGACGTCAACATCGCCACTCGTGCGCAACCATAAATGATTCCATGGGGTGCGATGTAAAATGCTCCCGGTTCCACTAATGGGCCAGCGCTCCCAGTTCCCACCAGTGTGGAGTTGCCGAAGTGCCGTGGGCTAAACAGAACAGTCTCCATCCACCCATTAAAAACATGTTTTTATACTGACATTTTTCAAAGCAGCCTGTTTCTCTTTTAAGAAGTATAATGTAAACAATTAAAAAATGCAGTATACGCAGGGTGAGAAATTAAGAGTGCTTTTCATCTATAACTTCCAGTTTGTTCATTCCCGGAGGCAAATGCTCATGCCATCTTCTTAATATCTTTCACTGATGTTCTACATGTAAAATAAACAACCCATAATGTCTCTCTCTCCCTCTCCCTTCCTTTCTCTCTAAAATCAATGAAAACATTGTTCATTGATGGGGCGGTGGGAGCATGGAGGAAAATAGGAGATTCTGAGGAGGGGCAGGTCAGGAAGTCTTCCCAGAGGAAAGGCCATTTAAGTAGTCCCTTTTTCTAAAAAATGGAGGCGAATTTCACATAACATAACATTAAGTATTTAAAAGGATACGATTCAGTGGCATTTAGTACGTTCACATCATTGTGCAACCACCACCTCTATGTGGTTCCAAAACATTTCATCTCCCCAAAGGATGGGGGCTCTGAGTCAGACTCAATTGGATTTAGAAAAAGAGTTACGTGACGGTTCTGGTACAAAGCTCATACACACGATATAAAGATGAACAGAACACGCCCTGGCTCTCTGGGGCCTTGCAGTCTAATGGAAACCCCCCGGCCTCCACAGTACTTGTTGAGAACATTCTGAGGAATTATGTACCAGTGTAACCTTTTATTTGACTTGATTTTTACGCCTGCATAAAGTTGCTAGAGTCCATTTTGCAGGTGAGAAAACTGAACTCAGAGAGTGAGTTCATGATTGCCCATGGCCTAAAAGTATCAGACCCAGGGTCAGAATATAGGACTTTGGACTCCATTCTTTTCACTGCTGATCATAGTTCACAAGGGATGAGCAAACTGGTTAGGCGAAGGGCAGCTGGTAGTTATCTAGAGCAGTTAGTCCTCACAACGTTGATATAGGTTGTGACTTTAACAAGTGATGTATAATGAAATCAATTTTACCACAGGCTAATTGATGGGGGGGAAAAAAAAAAAAAGAAGAGTTAAGACCCAGCTGGGGTGGCTCAGTGGTTGAGCACTGACCCATGAACCAGGAGGTCACAGTTTGATTCCTGGTTAGGGCACATGCCTGGGTTGTGGGCTGGATCCCCAGAATGGGGCATGTGGGAGGCAGCCATTCTATAATTCCCTCTCATTATCGATGTTTCTATCTCTTTCTCCCTCTCCCTTTCTTTCTTTGAAATCAATTAAAAATATAATATACTAGTATATAAGTTAAGTTGCTATAGCATCTATCAACATTATAACGAAGTGACATTGAACAAAACTATGTTATTCGAGGACCTTTGTACTCTGAGCTCTTGGGTTCGGTTCCTATCTGTAAAAGGACAACACCACCTCACTAAGTGAACAGGACTTTGTTATTTCTCTGTGTGTTGTATGTTTGAATGAAGCAAAATGCTGGCTGTACCTTCCAGTTATGTTAACTCATGATAACACCCTGGCACAGATGACAGGGAGCTGCCAAACATTCTTGAACAGAGCAATGAGAGGTTGGAAGTGGTTTAGGAAGATAAACTACACAGCTATGTGCAGAGCGGGGTGAGAGGGTTAGATGAGAGGCAGGGCACCCAGCTCAGAGGGTGGCGGTTACATGCAAGTTGAGTGATGAACAACAGGGCCTCAGCTGGAGGCACGAGCGACGTCGGACCAGAGAAGGAAATGAAGAGGACCGAGGACTTAGTTTAGCGTGAAAGCCACTCAATGCCATATCCTCAGCATATTATCCATGACCAGAGAGAGAACTGTAAGAGTTCAGTGACACATTCTTTTAGAGATAACTTGTCACTCTAAATGAGTATATTTAAACCATACAGTTTGGCACTGAGTTACAAGTAGCTACCGACTATTTTTGCCTGCTCCCCCTGAAGCTGGAAGCAATTTCATTAGTAAAAGACCAATTGGCCGTTTGAAAGTATCTGAAAGATATATACTCATTAGGAGAAAGTGACTTTCCTAAGAGCTTTATATCTCAAAGGAGGGGAGATGATCAGGGTCACAAATGAGGAGGTAATGTTACAAGGGTGAGGAGAAAGAACACTGTGACCTCTGGGATTCCTCTAAGCAGAAAGTTACAGGCTTTCAGCACCCAATCATCTTAGCTTTTAAGCGCCTACCGAGGAGTAAGTAATAAAGAGCTTTGGGAGCCGAGCAGCTGTGCCAAGGGGGGAAGCGTGGCCGAGTGGAGCGGAAGGCATCAGGCTAAAGTGCCTTCGTTCTTCTCGAGTCCAACCCAGCCAGCAGATCTGCATCTTCAGGAGGACAATATTTTTCTCCCGGCTTTTGCTTCAAACAAGAGAAAATGCCCCTAGCAACTACCTTCAGTGAGGTTCTCCAGCCCCCTGCCCACCTGTTTTTACTTCTAAGCAGCTCTGAGGTCAGACCAGACAGGGCAGAGCCTCAGAGACTTTCCCAAGGAAAGGAAAGGCCCGGTTCAGGAGTGGCAGCCTGTCAGGGCCATCCCACCAGGAAGGGACATGCGCCACCGCCCCAGTGTGGGGGCACTGACTGGGGATCTGTGCTGAGGTGCTTTGTCCGCCATCTCCAGGGAGACCTCGGTGGTTTCTTTTTTTAAAATTGATCTTAGAGAGAGAGGAAGGGGAGAGAGACACATCAATTTGTTGATTTGTTCCACTTATGTATGCATTCATTGGTTGATTCTTGTATGTGCCCTGACCGGGGATCAAACCGACAAACCCACAAACCTTGGCGTATCAGGACGACGCTCTGACCAACTGAGCTACCCGGCCAGTGCTGGCCTCTGTGTTTCTAAATTAGAAGGCACAGAGTTGGGCAGGAAGTTTGGTTTAGAGAAGCGGTTCTCAACCTGTGGGTGGCGACCCCTTTGGGGGTCGAACGACCCTTTCACAGGGGTCGCCTAAGACCATCGGAAAACACATATATAATTATATATTGTTTTTGTGATTAATCACTATGCTTTAATTATGTTCAATTTGTAACAATGAAATTGAAGGTCACCACAACATGAGGAACTGTATTAAAGGGTCGCAGCATGAGGAAGGTTGAGAACCACTGGTTTAGAGTAACACCACTAGAAAAATATTTTCTACATCAATGCCTTAGTTCCTGTAAAGAAAAAGTGATTTCACAAACAAGACCTTTTTATTAAGCATTTAGCTAGTAGTTAGCCTTCCTTGAAAATAATCAAGCTACAGGGCTTTTAATAGAGTCTAAACGTGTTGCCTTTAAACAGGCAAAATTGGTGGTTCTTTTATAGCTTCTCTCCTAATCATAGGCATGATTCAAAATATATTTTGTGGAACTATCACAAGATCTGTTGGCATTAAAGAGCCCTCGGGGTTCAAAGTCTTGCTTTACTGTTCTCTCTGATTTTGAGCAAATTAGTTAATCCTTCTGGGCTTGTTTCCTGTAAAACAAGAAGGCTGCCTCGCTATGTGGGGTTGGATTTTACGCATGCCTACGTGGAGGTGTGCATGTACAGAACTGGGCAGCCATAAAAAGAACCCCACTTTAGAGGCCCTGGGAGTGGGCGGAAGGGAAAAGCTGGGGTGGGTGAGAAGGGAAGCACAGTGTGGTCGGATAAAAGGATGAAGAGGGGGATGGAAAGTCACTGCTAATGGGCACAGGGCTTCACGCGGGGGTGATGAGAATGTCCTGAGTTAGATAGTGGTGCTGGTTGCACAACTACCATACTAAAACCTATCAGTACATTTTAAAAGGGCGAATTTTATGGTATGTGAATTATACCTCAATTATACTGTTACTTAAAAAAAAAAAAAAGACCCAAAAACATAACATTTGGAGAGGTAATGAGAAATGGGGAATTTTCAAATTCTCTGGTGGGGTGGAGAATCAAGTTCTGACCTATAGGATAAGAAGTCATTATTTAGGGAGGGTGGAAACATTTTTCTTGCTAAATTTTAAATTTTCCATTCCCAACCTATGTTCTGAAGTTTCATTTTGATAAGAGAATTCCCCTTCACTTCCTGGGCTAAATCATTAGTGGAACATTCCTATGATGATCTGGAATAATCAGTGATGGAATTTCAGTACCTGTAATGCTGCACCCTGGGTTTCAGGACATCGAGAGAAATACCAAAACCAAAGATTTCATAATGACTGCCCCAAACTGCCTTGATGGTACTATCCCAATACAAACAACCATAGGCACAACCATTTAGATTTCTAGTTTATTATTAAATTACATAGCAAAGCTTCTTCTATACAGTCAGAAAATGCACATTTAGATGAGAACAAAAATTAAATACAAATACAATTAAACTGGTTCCAAGAAGCCATTTTAAAAGCAAAAAAATTAGAAAGTGCATTTGGAATAGATTTTTAAAAATCTGTATTGGCATTTTTCAAGAGTAAACATCTTCCATCATGGTAAAGTGTGATTGGAATCGATTTCCCTCCCTAAGAGCTAATAGGATGGCAATAAATGCAAATACTTTGATACTAAAGTGAGACCTTCTGTATAAAGAAAATGAGAAAGACATGGCTCAGCTTCTTATCCAATTAACATCCTTAAGAATCACTTGTTCCTCATTTTCCTTTCCCCTATAAGAAGGATTAGAAGATTTATAAAGGAGTAACAAGATTAGGTTATAAAGTCCATGATGTAAAGCTCTGCATCTTTTTGGAGACCAGCTAAATAACCCCTAACCCAAAAGGAGAATGGAACACAATCATTTTAATTTTCTGAGTAGAATCCGTTTGTTCTTTAGTTACATTTGCCACAAAATCTAGTGCAACACTAGACATGGCCACTTAGACTCATCAGCTTAATGTTGCAAGTTAGAGAACTCAATTTCCAAGAAATCAATCTGATTGATGATCAAACATAAGGTATTAGAAACCAAAAGGCTAGTCCAGTTTTTTAAAGTCCTTTCACCAAGTTGAGATTATTAACAGTGAAACAGAAAGTTAACGGTGGGAATGCAAGTCCAAGGTGCCTCAATTATTTAGAGGCCAAAAGGCTCAATAGGTACATTTCTCTATTCGGGTTTACTTAGCATTCAATAGGAAAGAACTAAAGTGAAGATATTTGATTCTAGGTACAAAAAGTCTCATGATGTCAGGTACATTTCTCTATTCAGGTTTACTTAGCATTCAATAGGAAAGAAGTAAAGATATTTGATTCTAGGTACAAAAAGTCTCATGATGTCTCCCCTCCCGTCACCCATCTCATCTCAGGATTTCACTCCCCTGCCTGATCTGATTCCTGGGCAGTGTGGGAAACGGCATTCTCTGTAAAGTGAATTTTGGTAGAAAGGAGAGAGGAATAGTGGAGAAGGAAAGCCCTTTTCTAACAGGAGACAAATAAAGGGTGACCAATGCAGGTTACAGGGAATCCTTCAGCTTCTAAAAGTGATAATAACAGAGACACCAGGACAGACACTAAAGCACTTGGACATTTGGGCTTGAACTTTAGTAAGAGATTTTTTAACTTTTACTGAAGTTACCAGCACACATTAAAACAGTCTCAGAAGTGTATGTTTTGGAATTTTCTGCCTTTATGTTGCCATGGTTTTTCATACTTTCTAGTGAAATGGAAAGTTTTGAGTGGTTACAAAAAAGATCCCCAAAGGAAAGATCATCATATAAGACAATAGCTGAGGGAGACCGCTCCCTCTAAGAGGCAACATTTGGGACTAGAAATAGCAAAGTCCTTCTGCTCTGACTTTCTCTAAGAGTAGCCTACTGTTGGCTCCTGGGCCTACCAACAGGTCTGTAAGAATGGCAAAAAAGGAGAAAAACCAAGATGGTAAAAAAAAAAAGCTAAGTGGCATGAAACTGAGAGTTCTTAAACCAGCTACCGTGGGCTCCATGTTGAGCCTCTACTTGTCAATGGCACACTTCTTTTTCTTGCTCCAGGCCTCCTAAAGCAGCGGTCGCCAACCTTTCGGACATCATGGTTGGCGACCGCTGTCCTAAAGGACTCGCAGAGGAAGGATGGGCCCTGTCCTAGCTACCTCTCTACATTTGGCCCCGGACACCTCACTATGGGCTACAGCACTGGGAGGTTGGTCAGACCTATCTGACCGCAACATCTACACCACGCTTTCTCAACTTCCTTGGAAGAACTAGTTTATCTTTGTAAAGAAAAGACCCAACACAATGCTCTTACTTCGTTTAAGCAGAACCTCAATGGAAAGGCTCATCAGTGGCAGCGAGCTAGATTAGCGCAGGTTCTCGTTTTCCTGTCACACAATCAGCTTCGATGAATGCACCAAATAATCAGACCAGTAAAAAAGACTGGTAGGATAATTAAATAAATAATTTTATTTATGAAACTTCAGATTTTATAAATGCCAACTATATAGCAACCAAAGTCCCATAAATTCTAGCTGAGGTACAACCACCAATCAAGGCCCTTTGAAAAAATCAAAGATAATAAAGTGTCAGGGGAGAAAAGCGCTGTTCTCCCAACAGAGAATTTAATAAATGACCTTCCCTGACCCTGGAAGGTTCGCATTGGGAAAACTTAAACTATCTTGTAAGGGCATCCCCAATCAACTACTGATCAATCAACCCATATTTAGAAAAATAAACCCCATAGTTAAAAAAATATCAAATGCCTTTCATACCCAGAATATAACAAAACTCTGACACCAGAATGAAAAACCTTTCAGTCTCTGTATCAGACCATGGATTAGTCGGCCCATCAGCCTGTACATCAAGTTCATCAGAATGACACACACCATCGACACTTTATGATGTAGTTAAGAACTGCATGCTAATATCCTTTCATTCCTGGTGGCACAGTCTGAAGCCAATACTGTAAATACCACAATCAATTCCAATGGTGAAAAGCAGCCTCCTCGTTGGTGAGAATGTAGATGTTGGAAGTCTTTAAACTATTTGTGGTAGTTCAGTTAGACAAAGTAATGAATTTACAGAAACTCAGAAATGGTTAAACCTAAGAATTCTGGTGGGTGGTTTAAGATTTTGTCACTCTGCAGATGAGAGAGGTCAGGGGCAGACAGAGATTCTGTCACATGTATCTCCAACAGTGACGCCATTCTCTGGATGTTTGGAAAAGCTTAAAAGATTTGGAATAAAGAGATTTTCACAGAACACAGAATTCCTGTTATATCGGGTGGTAGTTCTTAAAACTTTTGCTCATACACGTGGAGCATTTACAAATGGAATTATCTGAATGGTGACTCCTTGATCAATGTCTTTTTACACGTGGCTTGTTCAGTAGATGTCACTGAAAACTGAGCAGTCCCCTCACTCAGTCATCAGTGTTGATCCTGACATGAGGAATAGTTGGGGGCATTGACAGACATTGGCTATTAGCTTCTTTTGTCCTGGCAGAACGAAGATTTCATTTTCTTCTAGTAGCAAATATTAACCCAAATGGAAGAAATAAAAGTCAAAACAATAATTGACTCCTTAAAAAAAGCTTGTCATTCTTGATGCTTTTCCAGCAATACAGTTAAGCCCAATGTGCACACGAGTAAAAAAAAGAACATCCCCGCCGAATGGCTCAGTTGGAGCGTTGTCTGTGTATCAAAAGAGGTTGCGGGTTTGATTCCTGGTCAGGGCACATATGGGAGGCAACCAATCGATGTCTCTCTCTCTCTCTCTCTCCCCCTCCCCCTTCCTCATTCTCAGAAAAATTAAAATTAAAAAAAAATCAATAAAAACATATCCTTGGATGAGAATTACAAAAAAGAAAAATGTTTTGCAGTGTTTATCATTTAAGACAACCTCAACTCTGTTGAAGCTGGCTTGTCAGCATCTCAAAGAATCTGTGAAAAATGGAATTTTCCTTGAATACCAAAAGAGTTGGGGGCACAGAGTAGAAGTTTATAGCACAGATTTAAAAATGACTTGTGACTTTTCATCATGAGTGTAAAATAAAAGGACAAGAACTATTTTTATTCACAACCCAATCCGTCAGTTAAAAGGAAAGCAGTCTTCGGAGAGAGACCTGGTTTTCCGAAGAGCCCAGCTGTGAGACCTAGCTTGCCATCAGCCTCCGACACTATCACTGAAGCGCAGACTCTCTTTCTGACTCGTTTACTTTACTTACCCCCTGGGGAGACAAAAGCAACGGAAAACTTTTCCTTTTTTAAAAACTACAAACAGAAGGAAGTGTGTTAGAAAAACTGTGGCTTCAGCTCAACCTGACCACGTCAGAGTCCAGCATTGAGCCCTGAAGGAATCCTGCTGGTCAGGCTAATTATCAGGGCAGTCCATTTCTCCTTCCCACTTTTCCTTATTCCAGATCAGGGCCTGAAAGTGGTAGTTGTCAAGAGTCCCTGGAGGCGTCTCATCAATGGAAAGCATACAGCAGCAATAGGATGGTACAGACACCAACAACACCACCCAGGATGAGTGAGTCTCGCCGCTTCCTAAGGTTGATTCGCTGGATCAGGCTGTTCACAGCAGGAAAACGATCTTTGGGAAATCTTTATTAAGGTCATATTTGGAAGCCTCTTTAGTGAAAAGTCACAGAAATCACAAAAACAGATCAGTAGAGTCCAGAAACAGTAAGTAATGGGAAGAAAATCACACTGAGGGAGTTGCAGCCTTTAACAAACACACAAACTGGAAATGCTCAGGGCCCAAACAAATTCCAGTCTCCTAGTACACGGCAGTACACAAATAAGAATAAAAAAAATTAATAGAGAGAGGGGGAGAAGAAAATAATAATGACAGCTACAATGTATTAAGGGATTACTGTCAGGCTTCAGGTCAAGTTGGTCAGAAACAGAGGAACCCCACTGGGCATGGAGGCTAATGTACAGCCAGCTACCACCACCACCACCCCCATTCCAGCCCACCATTCCTTCTCTCGCCCTCCCGCCTCCTACACACAAACACACACACTCTCTCTCCGTCCCTTTCTATTCCTTCTCTATGGTGACTAAAAAGTTTTGCAGAGGATTTGAAGTGTGCCCTTCCTCTCCCCACAGGCTGATAAGTTCCCCTGGATTTGGGCAATTGGTGGGAACTAACTCTAGGATCTGCATAATCAGGTACTGTTATTAAAATTTTATAATTTACTTTGTATCAGTAGGTAGGACATGGTAGGAAAGTGGGTTCAATTGCTCTAGTTGTTCAATTTCCAGAACATATAAAAAGAAAAGAAATTTTCAATTATAGAGGTTTTATAGCAGTTACAACTGTATTTTTCTTAGTATTTTAAAATATCTTCACACTCTTGTTTGTATGTTATACAAATTACAGCCTATACTGTTTTGCATTTCTGGCAAATGCAAAAGGTGCGGGTGCATCTTTTGTTAGTAGAGGTATTACCTCAAGGTCAGGAAAACCACCACCAAGATCACCTAGGACACTAGAGAGGGGAGAGGGAACAATCTCTACTCCGGGTGAATCCTCACCGCATTCTCCTGTAACAAAATGACTCCCAGCAAAGACTATATTTGTATACTTAAATGTCCTACATAGGGTATGATCAGGACCATGTTTTCTTCTAATCTTAAATTTCCCTGTGCATCTAGAATAGAGCTTTATATACTACAGGCATTAATGTTTTATAGAGAGATGAAGGGAGGGCTGGAAGGAGGGGGGCAGAGAGGGAGGGGGGAGAGGGAGAGAGAGAGAGAAACATCGATTGATTTACCTCTTTTATGTGCCCCAACTGGGGACAGAACCTGCAACCTAGGTATGTGCCCTGACTGGGACTCGAACCTGCAACCTTTCGGTGTATTGGACAATGCTCCAACCAAATGAACCATACTGGCCAGGGCTTAATGTGTTTTTTTAATTAAATAATGAAAAAAGAACAATCTGCAGAAACAATTCTTAAAATGTAGATGGGCAGGAAGCATGAAGTAACAGGCAAAAACTTTTATAAGGTACAAGTCTAATTTAGAGCAAATGCTTAATCAATCTTTCCTTGCTTGGTAAAAACAGGATCAATAATCTCCTTTGAAAAAGTATCGAAATTTTGGAATTAGGAAACCCTGTCTATAGTGGATGGACATCTTTCTGTCCAGTTTACCTTCAGGGACCCTTCCCCCTCTCCCCTTGTATAATAATTAAACAGTTCAGTCCGTGTGATAGGATGGAGCTGACCTTGTCCGCTAGCACCAGGTGTACACACAACCTCAGGATGGGCCAGGAAGAACACTCCCTCCCAGGGCCAGTGACAGGTTACAAATAGGCGGTGACTCAAGCTGGGGGAACCACGGTCCTCTCGGGACATTGTCCACAGTGGTTAGAAAAGACACCCTTTTCCATGGGGATTTTGAACTGGTAGGAGGTGACTCTTACAGTCATCTCTATCACCCTGAGGGGAGAACCTGCCTGAAAATGAGGGTAACGCACAGGAAAATAGAAATAATAGATGGAGTAGGTAGGGGGAACAGAGGGAGGAAAGGCAGATTCTTGATAATGAAATCTGAGGCCCTGAATCCAGCCATGCCATAAGCCAAATTCCACCCCTGAATTTCACACATATATGAATAAATTAATTCCCTCCTCTTCCCCCTTAAGTCAGCCTTAATTTGGTTTCTGTTACTACCTCTCTCTGGAGTCCTGACTCACACCCATTTTATTTGTTTTATTAACACACATCCTTTGGAATGATTGTAATTTGTAATAATGATAAAATGAGATAATGTATAGAACAGTATTCTGTAAAATGTATAGCCCTATATAAAATATGATTTGGGATGTGTGGTTTTAGAACAAAATTCACAAAAAACTGGAAAACATCAATACACTTCAGAATGTTATGTTCCCTAGGCAACTAAGGTATCAAATTAAAAGTGACTTTGAATTATCCAAGATGAGAAGA